CTGGGATGCATTAACAGGTGTGTTGTGAGCAAGACACAAGAAGTCATTCTTCCGCTCTACTCTGCGCTGGTTAGGCCTCAGTTGGAGTAGTGTGTTCAGTTCTAGGCACCGCATTTCAAGAAAGATGTGGAGAAATTGGAGAGGGTCCAGAGAAGAGCATCAAGAATGATCAAAGGTCTGGAGAACATGACCTATGAAGGAAGGCTGAAAGAATTGGGTTTGTTTAGTTTAGAAAAGAGAAGACTTAGGGGGGACATGATAGCCGTTTTCAGGTATCTAAAAGGGAGGTGGGAAAAAACTTGTTCATCTTGGCCTCTGAGGATAGAACAAGAAGCAATGGGCTTAAACTGCAGGAAGGGAGGTGTAAGTTGGACATTAGGAAAAAGTTCCCAACTGGCAGGGTGGTCAAACACTGGAATAAATTGCCCAGGGAGGTTGTAGAATCCCCATCTCTGGAGATATTTAAGAGTAGGTTAGATAAATGTCTGTCAGGGATGATCTAGTCAGTACTTGGTCCTGCCTTGAGGGCAGGGGACTGGACTCAATGACCTCTCAAGGTCCCTTCCAGTCTTAGTATTCTATAATTCTAACACACACTTCACCATGTGTCAGTCCTCAGGACATCAAACAGGATAAAAACTGCCCTGCATAATCACAAATTATTTCAATTTCTGGAAAATAATTGAACTAACGGTGAATAATTTGTGCCGTAGTTCATGTGCCCTACGTTTACAACTTCAGCATTCACAAACACACACACCACACACATTTGCTTCATGCACATAGAGCCTAATCCAAAACTCATTGAAAACAATGGAAGTCTGTTGATTTCAGTGGGTTTTGGACTGACCATGAAGTCTCTTTGGCCTTGTCTAGATTAGTTTTTAAAGGTGTAATGACAGGCCAAGTCTACATTAAGGGAGAAAGTCAACCTAGGATATGCAACTCCAGCTACAAGAATAGCATGACTGGAGTCAACATACCTTAAGACAAATTTCTGCCATGTCCCCACTGCGGGAGTTGGGGTGGGGGTGTCAATGTAAGAAACTCTCCTGTCATCTTCCCTTACTCCTCACAACCTGATGGAGTGCTGGGGCCAAGGGGGCACCATCAGGTAAGATTTAGTGGGTCCTTACTAGACCCGCTAAAATCAAACGTGGGAGATTGATCTCCAAAGTGTCAATCTTGGGGTAAGGGAAGACAAGCTCAGATGCAGTTACCTAATTCTATCCACTTAACTCCTTTGAAAACTCTAGTCAAGACAAAGCAATTGTATTTTAGAGCATCCTAGTTGGTCAAGGTCAAGCTAGGGAGAATTTCTGAAGTTTAAAAAATAACCTAGTGAGGACAAGCCCTTAAAGGCCACAAAAAGCCTCAAATGCATGCAAAGGAAAATACCAGTGTACAAGCAGCATGTATGTGAATCCAATTCAAGAGAGAAGGTGAACCTTAAAAAGTAGGAGAAAGTGAACCTTAAAAAGAGTGAATCCCACATAATCCAGAACACATCCTATTGGAATTGCCATATCAGAGCTAATCTTGTAGTCCATCTGTCCAGCCTCCAACAGTCACTAACGGTGGCTACTGTGTCCTATAAAGAGGAACGGAGGAGGTTATTTCCTACCTATCACTATTAAATAGACTGTGCCTTGAAGTATGGCTATCATTGGCCCTTGTAATTTTATCCTTGATACCACAATTATACATGCGATCCTTAGTCAAATAAATGCTAAAAATGCTATTAATTTTATTTATGCTTACCAGTCTATTCACCTCAGTAATATCCTGCAGCGGCAAGTTGCTTAGGTTAACTGGCTATGCTTTTAAAAAGTATTTTCTCCTATGCATTTCATTTCTTTATTTTTGCCTTTTCCTGTTTAAGCCCTATATCAAGAGGCAGAGCAGCGTACCTCTCCCTTAATTCTCTTTTGCAAGCTAAATAGTTCTAGTTTCTTCAAACCCCTCTTATTTATTGAAACCTGCCAGTTCAAAAAATCTCTCTAGGAATTTTTTAACTGCCTTTTCCTGGATAATAAGCATAAATCCCAATCCAGCAGCTCCTACACAAATTCAGGAAGCGAAGGAGTGCTTTAATCACCCCTCCCTCTCATCTTTCATTGGCTTATTGAGGGGAGAAGCTGAGTGAACCGAGGTGTTGAAGAGATGGGGGAACTTCCAAATCCCACTCTTTAAATTCTCTTCAGCCTGCCTGGTGAGTCCACACATTCTTCCAGCTGGAGCCAATTACTCCAGAAGTAGCACATATGAAGACACAGCCAACTGCCTCATGGCCTTGTCTAGATAAGGATTTAAAGGTGTAATGTGAAATGTGTTATCTAACTCCATCTTATTAACCCCTTTAAAACCAATAATTAAGATAAAACATAAGGAAGAAGGGGCAGACACACTATAGTTTTGGGAGCCAGAAGAAAAGGAGCAGACTGAGGTGATGGTATAACATAGGAGAAGATGGATATTTTTGATCAGTGGGAAGAATTGCAGGCATTGGACGGGTCATTTCAGAGTTCAGTTTGAATGTGTATGCTGTGTGAACAGAGTCAGATCCCTGATTTGACCCTCTTCTAGGTAGGACTTGGACTGCTTGAATGCAACCAATTAAGTTGATGGTGAAGAGCAAAATTCCCACTTCAGCACAGACACCCACAGTAACAATGCTGCTAAATGAGCTGTCTTAATAAATTGGATGACCAAAACTAGCTGCATTAGTCAAATATTTACGTAAATAGCTCTGAAATATCTTCCGACCCCTGCTCATCGCACCACACAGCGACATTCTTGCTTCACATTGAGCTGATGTCTTCATTCTCTCCACAATGAAAATCTCGCCAATCTCCGATATGTCAAAAACCTTGAATTTAGAATTCATCTGAATTGGTGAATAGCTTAAGTTTGTTCTTCAGACAGGCCTTGCTTGCAAGTCCTTTCCAAGAAACAGTATTTAAAAAAATCTCAAGATGTGAGCAATTAGTCAATCAGATTCACATGGTATGTTAGAGACAGTGTGGGTGAGGTAATATCTTCTATTGGACCAACTTCTGTTGGTAGGAGAGACAAGTTTTCAAGCTACAAAGAACTCTTCTACAGGTCGCTGAAATACAGTACTTCATCCACCTTGTCTCTCCAGTACCCGGGGATCAATCTGGCAACAACCATACTACAAATAACAGATGGGAAGTGTGAGCTCTTTAAATGAGGAAGAACTTTGGAAGATCTTGCAGGTGTAGATTTTGTATGAGACGTGTTTCCAGCTGTGACAGGAACAGACAAAAGCAGAACAACTGACTAGGTGGGGGTGGGGGTGGAGCTGGTCAATTAATAGTAGTAAATTGAAATGGTGAGTGATTAGACTTCTGAGCCAGTGCCAAGGCATTACTTATCACCAAAGCAGAGTGGAGAGGAAATCCCATTTTCCATATGGTCAGAGTTGTCATTGCCTCTCAGACACATTACTCTAGCGTAAGTCATGTTAGCCTCACATCAGGAGCAAGAGTCCAGACTGGGAAGTTTAGTCA